TGATTTTAGCAAATGGCTGCAATATAACAAAGAGTGAAAAATTTAAGGGGGTCTGAATACTTTCCGTACCCACTGTATATACACATACACATTTATAAATTCAATATATATATTATTTCATTTCCATTTTATTGAAGTATTAAAATAACTCAAATAAAACTAAACACTTAAAAGACCTATACGACATAATAAAATTCAGACATAATTTAACTAAAATTAAAATAAATAACAAGTACAAATAATACAAATCAAATGACAGTTGTTTATCAGTAATCCTAAAATATCTGTGATCTGCGAGCAGCTGACCGACTCCTCCTCTGAGCTGTTGATCCAATCAACGTTAAAACGCCGATGAAAGCGGTAAGAATGACTCGAGACTTGACTTGGACTTGAGCCCTGTGACTCGGAAAGATTTTATGATCAGATCAGAGTCGTTATTACTCTAGACGCGTCCCTGTGTGCTTGCGCTTGACTGGCAATAAGCCAGAGACTGCGTTCAGGGAGCGCTGGATTTATAGGCTAGTATACATTAATGGAGTAATAACATAACTTACGACAAAAGAGCCGAGATAAGAATAAATAAATAAATTACATGATTCGTGTAAGCGATCGCCGCTCGTGAAAAGCGCTGCCCTGTCCGTTTGATCGCCGCCCAGCAGACACACGGAGTAGGCATGAGAACGAGAGGCGCGGCCGCGATCACTGGTGCTCGCCTCATCATCACCGTGACCGCTGCTGTTAAATATTCCTCACTTCTTTTGTTTGTTCGACACTGAGGTGTACCAAGAGTGACGGATACGCATCCCGGGCATCCCGCTCCATGTGCTTTCATTTTTATTTTTTTATTTGTAATAAACACCTCTCTGAGACCTGTTTTTGTCAGATCTCCACATTGAGCCCTACCTGTGCACGTGCCTGGTCTGAGTAGATGTTCACTAGCAGACGGGAGATACATGACGGCTAGACTCCCGGATTGATCTGAGACTGCTGATTAGCCATCCGTCTTTTTAGTAAATGGGACTAATTTCGTTTGAGTTCAGGATTGTTGCTGTTTCTGCAGTTTCCGCTTTTCAATTGTTTACCAACCGTATATATCAGGACAGCGTTATGTCATTTTGTGATGTCTGTCCTGCATCACCAAAGACATGAAACATTTTCACCTCATTTTGGAGGCTTCCATTATAGCCTTGGCAATCTTTGGTTATTATTGTGGTTTGAATTACACGAAAATATGGAAGACCATTTTCACGTAAGAGTTAAAAAAAAGAATTGCAAGTATTTTTCTCACCATTGTGACTTTATCTCATAATTACCTTTTTTATAATTCACTTTGAGATGGAAACGGGCATTCATACAAAACATATTTATGTTTGTTATGTTTTCTTTATTAGTATAATAGTAATAATTACATCCTACTATTATCTAGATATCTTGAACTCCTTTTGCTTCCTACAGAGAACAGAAGTAAATAATTAAATAATAATTAAATGATGGAATTTTCATTAGTTTAATTAACATTTTAAAGTTTAGCCCAGGGAAAGTGATGAAATCCTCAGAAATGAGTTAAATGCAGCATCAGATTAAAAAAAAAATTAAAAAAAAAAAAACGTTGAATTTGAAAGTTATTATTATTTAAAATAAAAATTATCCTATAAACTGCGCACAATATAACAAGGAACATCCATTAAGACTAGAAATATGGTCCGTTTTGAATTCATGTTACCTTTCTAACAGACAAAAAAAGAAAAAAGAAACAAAAATGGCACTAGAAAGAACAGCTTGTTCTTTCAAAGCTGGACCTGTGTTTTTAGTGTGTTTCTTTGTAGTACAATTTTTTCTTCATCCAATCAGACATGTGTACTGGTTTCATCACTACAATCGATTTCTGATTCAAGCAGCCCACATCCACATACAGAAAAATCCATGCATGTAGCCTCTCTGGCTCTCCCTGTTCCTCATCTCAGATTGCATTAATTCATTCTGGATTCCAAATCATTTGTGACTTTCACCTTTTACTTGCCCCTAGACCCAGGCAAACACTCTCAGGTAATAGCAGGCCTAAGATATTTTGCACCAGCAGCATGAAGCCCAGGCCTCAGAGATTGTTGAAATCAAATAATGTGTGGTCTCTCCCTGAATCTATTGAGTTTCTAAACCCGTTCTCACACTGAAACTGGAAATCTTCAGAGAGCTGGCAACCTTAGCAAATGCTGAACCTACACACAACCTTGTCGTACATTTGTTTCAGTTATTTATTATGGTAGTTTGACAAACTATGCACTCACTCACATAGACACTAACCGAATCCCTAACATGCTGGAGTCTCGCTCTAGGCATTTTGTGGCCAAAACAGCAGCATGACATCGCTGGCAATGCCCCAGTTCCTTCACGTCACGTATAGCCGGTTTCAATTTAGTCTTGAGACATTTCAGATACGAGAACTCAAGGCAAGAAAGATCTGTTTTCGTTCATTTCATTCTGTTATGCTGATAATTAAAGTAATGGCCAATAATGTTTGATGAAGCATTTCATTTGCTCTAATAAAGTCTTCCCTGCATTTTCTTTTCCACCAAGTAAGCACAAAAGCCCATAATGACTGTAGGCAGAACTGAGGCTCAGAGCAGCTGAGGATACTCACAAGTAATAGCGTGCCCTTTCTCCCGTGGCTAAAGCGGACACTTCAGTAATCCCGAGACTCAATAATCCTCGCGGACCGGGGGGTCAAGAGCGTGTAAATGGAGGATGAGGATGTGTTTCTCAGATTGTCATGGGACGTCAGGGGCTCTGAGAGGCAGCTGCTGGCATCCAGACCACGTCACGTCCTCGGCAGGCGGCTGTGGAGACAAGAGGGGTCATCTGTGAGAGAGAGGGAATGGCTCATTCTCATCTTCAAACAAAGGCAGGCATTGAGAACCAGGGGACGAGGGGAGCACAGGGTTGGAGTAGGCGTCATTCATTACTAGAGCTAATTTATGCTGGGAAATATGAATAAATGTAAATGTGGACTGTAAGTTGTGCGTTCACACTGCACCCGAACTGATTTGTAATTCAAATCAGATGTTTTTCAGGTGATTAAATCGGTTCTGTTTGTTCAGAAAGTGTAATCAATATTGGGATGTACTCACAAAGGCACATCAGAGGTTAACTATAAATGTTAGGATGAAAAAAATAATTAAAATCCATTCTTACTAAAGCATATTTTCAAAAATGTTATTTTAATTGGATATCAATCCACATATGAATTTAGTTTGGATTAGTGTTGCTTTTCAACATACAAACAGTGAAACCAATTTGAGTCAGATATGCCCAAAATCTGATTTTAGCTGATTTTAGTTAATTGAGCTGTACAGAACAGGATACATCACAGTTTTTGTAGAAGTTGCCAGTGCAATGCTCACATGCGGATGCGATTGATAATCACTGCTATATAGGATTCCTACACTGTAAAAAAATAAAATAAAATACGGACATTTCTGTTAACCCTAAAACTCAAAGCAATGAAGTGAACAAAAACAAAATAGAGTTAAAACACCTGTAAAAAATAAATATTGAAAATTCATTTATATTAATACCATGCAATGTGCCCTGTTTTTATTTATTTTAAAAAAAAATTACATTATAGGGAAGGCAATCCCAGAATGCATTGTAACAAGCTCAGTTGACCAAAAATAAATACATAAATAAAAATAAAAAAAGATGGCAGATGAACAAATTTTTGTTACCTACCTGGTCTCATGGCAAAAACGTACCTGGGGGCACTTTTTCGCAAGAAGCGAAATATGTACCAATAAGTACATATCACTGCAGTTTCCAAAAGAAATGAACACTAGGCAGTAAAACTCCGATACCTTTTATTCCTTTTCACACAAATGTACAGAGTTTCGATTAATAAAGCGTAATTTTCGCACAATTACCGGTACTTGAAGACTATTATGTTATGACTTCAAAACAATTTTAATATGCTGGGAAATTTGAAAACTGATGCGTCTGAATGTTAGCATCGCACATATCCTGCTTCATATCTATGGGTTTTCATAGACGGTAGGTTTATTCGGAAGCTCACGGAGTACGGAGATGTACTTGTGAGGTGAGGAGCTCTGGTTCGAATCTAGTTCAAATCTGCATATAAGGAAGTTCAAATGGCACGGTAGCATCAACAAATGTGTTTTTATATCAGTTTTGCATTTGTTAACACTATCCGGTAGGTTTAGGGTTGGGTTTGGTTTAGGGCATATTTCCAACACTATAGAGCATTAACTTTTAGCGACAGTCCCCGGATATTTGAATTCTGAACCGCCGCAATACGTACCTGAAGCAACGTAATAAAAACACAGCAATACGTACCTATATCAACGTAATAAAAACGTGCCAGGGTATTGAACCCGTGTTTTAGTGCCACTCAGTAGACATTTCCCTTTGAAACTGTGGCGAAACGTGCAGTAAGGTACGTAAAAAAGGTGTTGCAGAAAAGTACCCAGAGGTACGTATTTTTATGAGACCAGGTTGTTGGTTACACATATACGTTTTTATATAGACTCAATTGTCAAACATGCGTTTCAAGCACGTCTGATATTTCATGTTTGCATGATGCTGACAGGCTGAAAGCTGCTGCTATTTTCATTGTTTTTACAAAACATTTAATGTTAGTAGTCTACTGGTATTATACTTGGTCATTTTGAATTTTAATTGCCTTGACTTTTTTTTTAGCACTTTTTTCAAAAAATTTTTTTTAAACATACAGGATATGTTTAAGACAAGTTTGTACAAATGTGCCTTCAAATTTCATGCATCTTCTCTGCAAAGATTTTTAACAAGTTAATTCGTTTTACATTTACACCATATTGACAATTTCATGTGTGATACACTTGGAAAATGCAACTATTCTTTAACTACATGTTACTTGAATCATGTTGTAGTTATACGTTTTTGAGTTGACTAGTTAAAATAAAAAAATAAAAAATCTTGAATCAGTCAAAGGTTCTGAAAAAAAGAGCATAACAAGAGTACTGTATTCTTAGCAGCTCATCCCAGTAGACTGTTAAACCAGTGTCCTGAGAGTCACTTCTTGTGCGCTCATGTGCTGACAGTGAGAGATGTACAACTGGATGTGACCTCTGACAGATGAGGGGATTAGTATTGATCAAGTGTGCAAGCCCACAGACACGGGGGATGAATCAACAGTCCATTGATTTCTGTTGCAGTGTATTCATACAGCCCCCACTTCACCCTGCAGTCAACGCTACTTACCACATCAACCGCACCATAAATCCAGTGGGAAAGGAGCTTGACATTGTGTTTGTCGGTAAGAAATGTCAACCTTAATATCTCAATGATGCTCTGTTGCTCTCCGACCACTGCACACATCTGCATGTTTGGAAATGTACAGGCCTTATACAATCAGTGTTTGTCTCCATGGAAACTATTCAGTACCTATGGCTAGCATAGAGGGAATACGTGGAGGGGGAGGGGAGAAAAGGATACTTTGGGGACAAAGTCAAATCGCTTCTACCCTTTGTTCAAAACTCTTGGTAGAAAAAATTATTTGAATGTTTGTCAGTGTATACTTCATAGTGTAATTCTAAATAAATATTTGAAATGTTGCAGTTAAACACTGCAGTGATTCAGTCTGGCATCAAGTTCTGTTACATCAAATCATGAGTCAATTATCTCTGGCGATGGTTCCTTCAAACATTTCTGTCAACAGACACGTTTGGATTGCTGATGTCAAAATTGCATGTTGTGTACGCACACTGTAGGAGGAAAATGCAAGAATGCACTACAGACAATAGAACGTCTGCTAAATGTTTGATGTGCGCGGTAAAGTGATGCTGTTGATAATGGCTGGGTCCATGTGTGCAAGAAGACATCTGTCATTTACAGGAAAATTGGTAGGTTTTGTACTGAAAGAGAATTCATCACCCATCTTAGTCTCATGTTATGATTAATTCAGGCAAACCCACACAAAGTAAATGCCTCTTTATTCCGTAGTCAGTAGCCCACATGAATAATTTACTTCTGGCCAAGTTCCGAACTTGTTTCTATAAAGTTTTGGAAGTGACTATAGGAAAAAACAAAAAAAAACAAAAGCAGAAACTGAACTGTGAAAATGCAATGAAACCTTACACTCATACTTGAAGCTTTGTAACTAATCACTCAGTCTAATATAGAAATACTTAAAATATAATTTGATATTGATATTTGATATAATTTTTGATTGATATTATAAGGTTTTAATATGAATAAATATAATTATAATTCAAATTTATAATTTACACATTTTTATTTTATTTTTTAACAAAGATTTAAATTGATCAAAAGTGTCAGTAAAGACATTTATATAGTCACAAAATATTTCTGTTTCAAATAAATGTTTCTTAAGCACCAAATCAGCATATTAGAATGATTCTGAAGGATTGTGTCACTCTGAAGACTAGAGGTATGGCTGCTGAAAATCCAGATTTGCCAGCACAGGAATAAGTTACATTTTAAAATACATTCAAATAGAAAACAGTTATTTGAAATTGTAATACTATTTCACAAATGTACTATATTTGTGATGCAACTTTGGTGAGCATAAAAGAATGTAAAAAAAAAAAATTACCAATACCAAACTTTTAAACACCAAGTTATATCATTTTACGTCATATAACATAACTGCAAAAGCTAAGGATGAAGATCCGAGACTAAAGAATGTGGTGGTATGCTGTCAGATGATTACAAGCAATAATGAGGACAAGCATATTGTATACATGTATAAGAACTATACAGGAATGAGAACAAATTATGTTTAAAATAGTTTCAAAGGCAGGATTATCATGCCTTATTTACTGCATTTTTCCAAATCATTAGGACTTCTGAACAAGTTGAGAAGCTATTAAAGGGGTGCTATTATGCTTTTTCACTTTTTCAACTTTAGTTAGTCTGTAATGTTGCTGTTTGAGCATAAAAAAAGATCTGCAAAGTTACAAAGCTCAAAGTCCAATTCAAAAGGAGATATTTTAATTAACAGAAATAACTTTTCAAAAACTACAATGAACGACTCGTTTGGACTACAACGCATATTTTCCGGGATTTGTGATATCACAAATACCGACGAATGGGACGAGACCTGGTTGAGCTGCACTAGAGAAGGCAACGAGTGTTATCACTATGTCGGAGACACGCTAGCTTTCCCAAAGCAGACGAACTTAGAGTGGTTATAATCATCCGGGTTTAAATCGCGCTCAAATTTATTTGATACTGATACGCAATATTTACACTGAAGCTCGCAGCAGGCGGCTATGGTAAGCCCCCAAAGTACTAGTACACAGCTGAGAGAGGAAACAAGAAGCATCTTTGCATCCTCCAGCTGGTGGGATCGACTGGCTACATCACTAAATCTAAACCAGTAGACATGTTACTATTTTCTATTCTTCACAAAGCTATGAAACAGTGGAATGAAATGGACAACTACCCAAGAGGACTATCAAACACTCTGCTCACAGAAGTATATTTTGTTTAGAGATGGCATTTGATTGCTCAGAGGTCGAGGAGCTTTCCCCTTATGCACTGTATGAAATTGAAACATCGTAGACATGTGATTGAATACATGTTGTTGAGTACCACCTGAGGAGATTTTCAATACTCGATGGAGTTACAGTGGAAATACAAAGGACACAGGTGTCCAAACTGTGCAAGAATCCCTTAGATAGCTTCACAGCTAGATTCAAGAGGTCTGACTGGTAATACAAATGCTAAAATGTCACACCGTCTTGTGTTCTTAACCCCTACATATAAGCTAACACACAGCCAGGGGACCCGTCTAGGGTTAAATCGCTCAGCCTAAAGCTGAAAT